AACCCATAAACGCCATCGAAAAAAAGAACAAAATAGTCATCATTCCTCCAGGTGCATTTGATGAAGAAATCGGATGAGTCTCTCCTCTTGGTAGGGGAGGACGACATCTTCGTTGAGCGAGCCGTCGGGGGTCGACAATGTCCAGGATGGTTTTTCACTTGTTCTGCGGCCACCCATGCCCATGGGTCCAAGTAGAATGAGCCTTATGAGCACCAAACACCTCTGTCTGATGCGGCTGCCCGCGGCCCACCACGTCATCGCTACGTCATCGCAGCTCCAAAGTTGTGGGTCTCCGGTCATCACCGACGACCAAATGGTCGGTCTATCACAACTCAAAAAAGTCAAAAAATTTTTTGGCCGAAAGTTTGCCTATAGGGGTAATCGATGGTCCTGATCACGATTCTGACACTTATTCTTGACATCAACCCAATCTGGCGTCAGAATGGCCCTGCAAGTCCCTCAAACGAATGTACATAGCGACTCCAGTGGGAGAAAGACTTGGCTCCAAATTGGGGACTACGTGCCACAAGTAGGACCCCATTGGCGACTACTTTCCTCATCGATACCAGTACCTTTATAAGGACCCTATAGGCAGCAACTGGCCGAAGTTGCGAGTGATTTAGAGCCCATTCAGGCTCAAAAACAGTCGGTTTCCATGGACTTCTTTTCACTCCATTTTTGGCATTCCCAGAGGCGTTCAGGAAAAATGAACACTAGAAGTTTGTACTCCAGCACCGTAACGCCCATTATACAAAAACCGCTTTCAAAAAGCGCTCCACGTCCTGAACGACTCCCTACGTCGAGTGCTGGTCAACATAAAAAAAACTCGTGAAAATTGAGTAGGCACGAAGGCTTGTGAATTTCCTCAGCTTTGAATGTTTCAGCACAAAATTGGTGCGAGCGTGATCTGCATGACTTGTCCTTATAAAATGCTTATTTTGGATATTGGAGCTGCACCTGAAATTTCATATTTGGAATTCTTAGCATGAGCGCCATGTGAGTCACTGCGAAGCTTGTCCAAGACTTTTGTACTCATTTTTGCAGTGTTACTCCATTCAGAATTTTAGTTTTTTTTTTTTTTTTTTTTTCTTCAAGGAAGCACCGGTCTATGTCGTACTTGAACCGCGGACAGGGGAATATGTCGTTGAGTGAGGGTCGAAGAGACGGAAACACTGCGAAGTCAACTGCAGAACAGTCGCGATAAACTCGATAAACTTACCGACACATGATGACAAAATGCTTGTCTGGCTCGCTCATTTGGAAGCTTCGGAGAAGGTGGGAGTCTGTTCAGCTTTCTCTCTTTGATTACTCTATTACAGCAAGGTTTCGCAGTCTTCCAAACCGCAAGAATGTTGGACCGCTTTATCTAGGCATTGAGGCGCGAGACATGCGATATCAGTGAAATGCAAGTAAACTGCCTAAACCTAGCTCGATCACTGTCCTTCCAGAGCTTCCATCATCGAGAACTATATTTGGCATTTTCGGAAAGTTTTGATGGGTCGATTTTCCTTTTCTCCCACAGCAGAGTACGTAGATGGCCCCACGAGCATCTTTTTCAACGTCTACCTGGTCGGGTTTATTATAAATTCTACTACTTCTTTGAGAAATGCGAGGAGGGGGTTGTTACTCAAGAAGATACTGTAGTTGGTGAGGTCAGGCGGGGGTGCAGCAAAGCTCACTCTTCGAAATGAAGCGCGTGTAATCACCCGTCAGCGTTCTTCTGAGGCTAATATTAAGCCCGTAAAAGTGACACACCAATCGGCCCGGATCCTGTTCAAGTATTCTTTCGCTAAGGGCAGGTTGAGTGTTACTCAATATATTCTTCAAATGGACAGGTGTGGTATAATCGTGTGTGTGTCTTGGAAAATCGGCATCCAATTGTGCCACCTTATTCGAAAAGCGCTCGTTTTTGCCTTTGTTTTAGGGTTTAAAATGTTTCAGGAGAGTAAGAATTTGTCCCGTGCGACCCAGATAATGGGGCCTTCGATGGACTTCCCCCCTTACATTGCAACACCAGAATTCTGAATGAAACTATTTCTGTTTTGATGTTTTAATTACCGTTTTGTTTCTTTCAGCACTTTTCCAGTTCACTTATTCGATTTTCTCAAGTTGGAATATTGTTGATGGGTAGCATAGCAGTTGAGTTGTTTCGAGCACCGCTGTGACTCAGTCTTCTAATACGTTATGCGCTGTAGTTTTATTTATTTTTCGATGATTTTTTTATGTGCATTACGATTTTCCTCCAATAAATGTTCATTAAAGGTGTTGAAATTTTAAAACTGAATTGTTGGCGTGAGGCTGGCAGGTGTATCTTTACACACTGTTTTCGCGTAAATTTCACTTTGGTTTACTCTGTGGCAGCTATTGACTTTAATTTATGTTATCACTAACTAGCATGAGTCCAAGGAAGAGGATTAGCACACTGCACGTTTAATACATTTCTCAGGTGGTAAAAGAAGTCGCCTCAGCTCTGAGAGTTTCATCAAAGGTATGTTGAATGAATACTCGTTTCTTTTGAGAGCTCTCCCACCAGTTACAGTAACAATCGTGGATCTTTGTTATGCTTAGTTAAAGACAGCGACGCGGAATCGCGCCTTTCGCAGGTTGTTCAGCTTATAACCATCAGATCATGTTGTAAATAGAACAGTGATGAAGAAAAAGTGAAAGAATGCGTTGAAAATGCCCTAACAAGACCTCATGAACGGGCTTAAAAATGGACGACTTAATTCAACTTTGGGCGAGTTCTCTGTATCTAATCGCCACTTCCTGCGGCTCATTCTTCTTGGCATATTTGATAAGGTTAGCAATTATCACCGCTAACGAGTTTTGGTAATGAAAAAATGATTGAGGTGGAACTTGTTGACCCCGCCTCCTTAGGCGGAGTCAGCTTATCGTTGACGAGCTGACCTGCTTTTATCAAGAGCTTTTGAGCCGCGCGAAATGGGATATCCGCTGTGACCACAAGCTCCCCCATCTTGCACTCTAAAAGATCTTTGCACCTTGTTGGTCGCGGACGCTGTCTTTAAGTCCTGAAGACACAGCATAGAAACCGTCCCGGTCTGCTTTCATGACTGTATCCCTCAAACTTTGGCGCAGACTACTAGGGGTCTGCCACGATTTGTCACCCTCCGCCCAAGGAATGAAATACAAGAATTTTATAGCTTTCATTACTCCATTACTAAATAGCAATTTGCAAACAGTCCAGGTACTTTTTAACAGAATGAAAAATAATAGAAGCATACCCGTAACATATTTACATGTAACAAGCTTTCAGTTAATATTGTAACAAAAAAGGAGTGCTATGGTACTATGGGAGGGGGTCGGGTTCGTCCTCGCCCTTCCGCCCAGAGAACGATTACCGAAGATCTGCTATTGCCGACCAATGCTCTCCAACTACCTCAGCATCAATATTGGTTATTCTCATCACATGAGCAAGGATTCTTCGAGTTAGCCCTAAGTTTATGGTTAGGGAGGTAAGACTGTTCTACAGCCAATGGGTTGACAATATAGAAAAATTCAGTTCTGACCATTACCCGCTTGATGGCTCCAAAGAGTGCTGTGCTAAGGTACAACCCAGGAAAACAGGGTAATTATTTCTAATCCATGAGGATAACCTCATCGATAGTTGGCGATAGCTCTTTCTTCACGTATAATATAGAATTGATGTCCACAACTTCACATTCTTCTCTCTTCGCATTGTTCAGAGGTGGTTGACTTCCGCAGTTCGGTGGTGGTTTCGTTTCTGATTCTTCGTGACCATATTGAGGTACCTGTAAGAAAATATTGTGCAAGCAGCAATCAGAGGCGACCGAAGTAGGGGAGGGGAAGCGGGCGTTACGCGGCGACGCGACCCCTTGCACCTCTGCAGCATCACCGCGATGATGATTCCTCCCCCTTTCGAAGCTCCGCCTTGGGAGAGTGCAGATGATCAGAGTATGGGTATCGATCGGCCCCGGCCGCTACCGCTGTGGGGTAGAGTGGTAGAATAGAAAGACGCGCGTTGGTTGACCCCACACTTTGGTCCCTCCTATTCTTTTGCCGGTCGATACCAGTCTATGCCTGCGCTCCCTTCCATAGCAGTGGAGTACGGTTGCAAAGGCGGCGCATCGAGGCTTGTGGTCGCGAAGTCTGGACGCTATAAAAGCTGCGAGTCACGCTGCCGCATGGTCCACTCCTAATAATAGTAAAGCTTTTCGCTTTCACCTCTTAACACTCACTGTGACGTATTTCTCGGCAGCCTTCTCGACAGGATTTCTTGGTGGATCTCTTGTGGACAGCTGTGCGAGGGTAGGAATCCTTTGTAGGAAGAGTTCAGTATTCACTCCAATCGCCCCTGCGATTTCATTGGCTTTCGTCATCATTGCGGAGTTCATTTGGGAAATCAGTTCATACTGGTTGCTCTTCACACACAATTCCATCAGTTCATTAACGAACCGGTTGATCTGAAAGCACCTGGTGAGACACCTTACGGATATAATCAATATTATCGAAAAGCTGATTTCGTATATTAAAATCCACCTCTTGAAATGACTGGAATGCCTCTATAGCTGCTGTGTCTACTCGCTGCAGTGGCTGAAAGAACACTGGAGTCGTTTCGGAGGTTTGGTCGCCGTTCTCAGTCAAGTCAGCCATTTCTTGAACATGACAGTCGAAATCTTCTAAAAATCATGTTTTCACATCGCTTATGAGAATGCTGAGAACAGATTTCAAGGAAAGCGAGAGCATGCCACGTTATGCTCAAAAGTTACCTCCATGTGAAACCTCCTCGCTCCGACTGTCTTGTTCTGAGTTCTGTTCAGTCGCAGCCAGTCTTTTAGCAGTGCGATATCTTCGTTGAACTAGTCCGAAGCGATGCGCCATGCGCCTTAATTTTCATAACTTATTGTGCATGACTCACCCAACCCTCCTCTTCAAAACCTGAAAACCTCTTCGAGATTCTTGTCCCCAGGCTTAGTCAAAAAGCGCTTAACTGGTTAGCATAAGACGGAACAAGCGGTGGGCTCTTTCTATACAAGACAAGCTGAGGACCGGTTATTTTATAACGTACATCCCCGTTGCCGTTCATATATACTCCTCATCATTACGGACTGTCGGGGCGGGTCAGTGCGGCTGCGTTTTCCGCGGTTCCAAAGTCTTTCTGCACCAGTTGTTGAAGCGATCAAATGACATAACAGCATTATATCCTTCGTATTACTCGTTTTCTACCACTTTTTGTCGCATACGCGCTTCAAAGAAAAGGCTGAGAACGGCTTCAAACAGTGTGCGCACTCCTTCTGGCCGATACGCCCCGACAGTCCGTAATGAAGAGGAGTGTATGTGACAGCAAGGCGTACTGTCGTGGAGCGGTTGACTAGTGAACCTTTTAGTGAAGTTATGCTCAGAAGACAGCTATTATACAGAGGTGCTTTGATTAAACGCTCAGGCAGGGATAGCCGAGTGATCATGACAAGTCGCAACAGAAGCAAATGGCGACGTCTAACACGAACAGCGGACCCTGCGACGGCGCGGGACTAAGGCTAGGGCGAAGAAGAAGAAGCTTTGATTAAACGCCCTTCGCGCGATGGCCGGTTTGGCAGCGACCCTTTCTCAATGACGCACCCTTGTAATACGGTATCGATGCGGTCATACTTTCCGTCGGCGCTTCGGGAAAAAAGCCAGTGTTTTGAGCAGAAAGAAGAAAGCAACCGTCGTCAATCCATTTTACTCTGCTTTCCTTCTCGTACGAAACGCTAGATTGATACCTATACGTTCCCACTCGTCCGGAAGCTCGAAATAAACGGTGACGAAAAGTATAAGGGCAGCATAAAGGGAAGAAGTGCGCAAATGAGGGATTCACAATACATCGCTGGACATCCCCGGCCATGCGGTTGTTGTAGAGGAACTTCAAAGACAACGGCTGAACAGCTACCAACCATACATCCTTTGCTTCGACGTAGCAAATACGTGCTTGTTGATCGGAACTCAATGAGTGATCCCATCTTTCTCTACGTATCTTCGCCACAATCTGAAACTGTTGATTTCTGAGTCATCTAGTAGGTAGTGAAGCTTTTGAGAACCCACCTCGTAGGCGTGTAGACCCCGCCTTAGCATGCCCAGTATTTCCTCCTGGTCACTTTTCGGAATTCGTAATGATGCCGCACACACAGCATGACCGAGATGACCAATGCATCCTTCGTAAGTGACACTTCCATCGGCATTTTCGCACACCTAAGGCATCTCACGAGTATATAATGGAGAACACTAGAAGAACTAACTTTCTTATCACGGAGCATGGAGAGGGCGTGGATATTAACTGTTTGATTGGGGCTGCAGCGTCTCTTTTATGCTCATGTGCCGTCTCAGTCTATTGCCGTCGCAGAATAGCCCGTAGCAACGCCCTCTCCATGCGCTGTGACATATATTTGCTTCCGGGAGTGGGTTTCCTTTCCGCAGCACTGGCGCGTAATATTTAAAAATTGCCTTTCTGACCTATTCTTCGATAATTGTGTCAAAAGACCCACTCTAAGAAACGCAGGACAGTGACTGAGGATCCGTTTGCTGTGCGAGGGCGTTGTCGGTGTATCTTCGGTTCCTTCGTTTCCTGGCTTTTCGGTTGGGGCTGACTCCTCCGAAGGACGTAGTTGGCTTCGCTTTGGGTACTCCAATTCCGGGTAACGCTTGTGAGAGCGTAGATGGCGTTTCTTTGGTCTCTTTGATTTCGGGTTTTTCGATTCCGCGTAACGCCTCTGAGAGCGTAGTTGGTTTCTCTTCGGTTCCCGGTTTCTCGGTTCTGGGTAATGGTGTAGTTGGTAGCTCTGGGATTCCTTCGATTCCCGGTTTCTCAGTTACGGCTGATGCCATCACTTTCCCTCGAGCATGCTTACAGACGAAAACGTGCCGTCGGCCACCATCCTTGCAATGCACAGAATATCTCTTCGAAAAATTCGTACGTGACGAACTTTCCAGCGAATCTTTCCACTCCTGAAAACAAAAACGTTACGTTTGGCGTCAACGCAGCTGAGGGGGGTGGGGGAAGAGGGTGAGGGGGAACACTCGGCAGCGCTGAAGAGGGTGAGGGGGAACACTCGGCAGCGCTCTAATGTCTCTTCTACAAACCAAAGTAGGTTGAGAACTATTACGAGACTATCCCTTCGACTGTGATCATATGCGCTGACTTAGCCTGTTTTGGTTAGGGGAAAAAGACATACGTGGAGGCAATGCTGAATTCTCCTTTCCCCTCCCCCCCTCTACAAAGCTTAGCGCCCACAGTTATAAACGAACCTGAAAATACACCCGACAGAAATACGGATGTAGTGGAACGCTGGTTCGCTACCTAGTTCTTAATGGAAAACAGCGGAGTCACCCCTCTCCCCATTTTCTTCCCTCGGTACCTCTTGCTATGACCTCCCCTCAGCAACGTCGACGGGGATTAGCGAAATTGCAAAATGTCTCTTCCCCCTCCCTCTATCTCCAAGCCGAGCGGTGCCAAGATTCTTTGGCAACTGTCCTGAATTTGGAAGGGTGGGTCAATAAGAGCAAGAGTAGAGCCAGATTTTTCTCGAGTAGTTATCAAAGTTTTTACCTCAAATGCCGTGTAACAATCAAACTGTCCAGTAATAATGGAATAGTCCTGTGTAGCTGGTTTTGTAGTATGCCAGTCATTGCAATGTTTTGCCAAATCCCGGTAAGTATAGAACCTTTGACCACATTCCGGACAAATAACATTCGACGAAGTCTTTCCGCTTGGATGCAGTTTCTGAATCACAAAGAAAATCTCAATGAAAAATGGATACAACCATAACTACTTCCATGCACAGTTCGGCTTGGTGAGGCTTCAAAATAGATGGCACGCTTATGCTAAGCTTATGCAGGAAACTTTGTGAAGACCTGTGGAATACTGTAAGGCAGCGTTCAGACTTCGCGACGGCAGCGCTTCGGTCGCGCGTTCGACGCGATCGATGCAGTCGAAAGCATGCGCATCGATCGCGTCGAACGCGCGACCGAAGCGCTGCCGTCGCGAAGTCTGAACGCTGCCTAACATGTCATAGGTTCACAAAATTTACCAGGTCTCCCCAAAGGAAGACCTGTTACGGAACATGAACTAACAGAACGGCCTACAGAATGTGTGAAATGCCCCTCCAAGCCAAACAGCACCCTATTTCCGTACCAGTTTATGATGCCTCAGTGAATGCAATGTACTGTAGATCTTATCGCAGATATCACAGCGAAGACTTCCTTTTTTGGCTCGTATTCGCAATTTTTCTCCATCAATTTGAGCTTCATTCCAAGAATGTGATCTACGTAGATGATCGTATAAATGACTCAGAACTAGTGGACCGTGCCCGCAAACTATACAGTGTTCCACTGTCCGCATCTGAATAAATCAAATATCAAATTAGATTAAATTGGGAAGAAGCTAACGTATTGGGGAGGGGACTACGCGGCAGGCTGATCGTCTACATCTCTCTCGCCGGAACAGCCCAACACCCATTAAAAACCCCCAGCATTTATTAAGCGGGAAAGATCAGTTTTGAAACGAACGTGAGGGCATGTG